AAGACAAGTGGGAATGGCAAGAGAAAATGAAGATCATGTTAACGTTTATCGACAGAGTTAAGCGTAAGGCTTTATTTACTAGACATTGACTATATCATTGAAATGTCGATGCGCTTGTTATTATAGTTCGTTTTCAAAATGTTGTCATATAGACATTTCCTATGAACACTGGGTATATATGCTTTTAAAGCGATTCTCCCATGTATTGTACAACCTCCCTCTTTATTATTATCCGTATATCCTTTCTCATTACCAAATACGGAAGCCAATCTTTCCACACTTTCTGATCATGACTTCGACACGTCTCTGATTCCACATACTAGCATGTCCGGGATCGTTAATTTAGTGTCATAGTAATGGTGCATCTTAATAAGTCGACAAGAATATATATGTTTATGTACAGTACATCAAGTTACAGCATTGAATAACATTTGGTACGTTTAGGAACGAACGTGTTTGGAAAGAGCAACATGAGGGGTATTGGGGAAAGGTTCATTGAATCTCATCAGAAATGAAGAGTATATATCTGTGTTTAATAAACAACGCGTACGTATATGATAATTACAGTTCTCTTTTAAAATTTCTGCCACTTATAGTTCGGTGTGACCACAACAGTCAACGACCCATAATTACCATAGCTACTCCCCATCTTCATACAACCAATCGGATACGCTTTTAAATATCTTTTTCATGTTGTTAACAAATCCGGTGTTGAGGATTTTACAAAGTTCCATTAATTAAGCACAGAAGATTTATACTCTGATCTTGAGCATAATAACCGGAAAAGCCTGTGAACGTAAGCATCATTTCCAGATGTCTGGACGAATCAAGTGTTTGGCAACGTAATTAATAAAAGTATCGCCAAACACTGTCATGAGACGGCATAGATTCTTTACCGTGTGTTCACCGTATTCTATAGGTATCAGTTAATAAGCCATTAGTTACTATTATTGTTGTCGCAACGGATGAGTATAAATAAACGTAGAATATTATATCTTCTCTACCATTAAAGGCTTTTGCAATTCTTGATTTCGTCCATTCACTAGAAAAACGTCTCATTATTAAATCACAGAAAGTATCTTGAATTAACGTTACTGACGGATAGCGTGATTAATAAATGGCAGGAGAGGCCTAAAGATTAAATAAGACATTTTGTCAAAAAAATAAAATTAATAATCAACCTATGCGAGCTGGGATTTTCGGATAACTTACTCAAATGGCACATTGTACGCTGTCCAGCTTTACAAGCACCAAAGGCTCTTTTGCTTTAACAGAATGTTTCGCTGCGATCGATCATTTTGAGCCAGAAATTATTGCTGCATCGACATTAGTAAATCTGCTGATTCCTTATGAACTCTTGTCCTAAATAAACATGCCATGTAAATATTTCCATACACTGACACACCCATTAGCCAGTTATCCAACTTGTAGTTACCTCCGGCAACACAGCCAAATATTCTAACAAGGTCCACGGCTGGATCTTGTCTCCCAAGCGCCATTGTCCTTGAATGAAGATACGAAATAGCTCTGCACAATTTTTGGTATCAAGATAGGAGAAACAAATTTATTAAATGAGAATTTTCACAAGATAAATTGCGTGGACTGATAGAAAGAATGGTGTGTTACCGCAGTTGATAATTTGTAGTGACTACCGATGAACCGTTGGTCAGCTAGCGAATTAATTCGTTCCAGGATTTCCTGGAGAAGTATTCGGCCAATTGACAGAGGCTTGGTGAAGATATTGTACAAAAGAGAACTTGATCAAGACAAGACACCTACCAGTCTCTAGAGATCTTGACCTGGATAGTACCGAAGTATTGAGAGTTTGCAGCCTGTTGGAGTTATGAGCATTAGTAGAGCAATCACCATCGCCGGTAACTCATAGCTAAGCTAAGGAATGAGATAAATGTATACCCAAGTGAATATTCTACGTAGTCAACGCGTTAAGGAGATGATGATTCAACCGCCACAGTATGTAATAAATTGTTCATGTCATCCACGTGACCATATTCTTATTAAGATTCAATTCGCGTGACGCTATTCACCTCGGTGGAGAGATATGGTTGATATTGTTACAGCAAATCAAGCCTGGAATGCTGTCGCTTTGATCTAATAATACAGTACTTACAATATTGCCGAAGTAAAAAAGTAAATGATTTATATTGTCATATTCGTGAGCAGGTGTATCAGATTTAAAGCGCTCGCAAAATAACAAGCCATTGTCAATTGCAGTATATTTGAGTTCCAGAATTTCAAAAAACTTTGGTTTTGAACAAAGAGCAAAGCTCTTTACATTTTATTAATAAACAAATAAATAATATAATATAATATAATATAAAGAACATCATCACCTTCTAACATCTCTTCTCCTTGGCTTTAAAATATTTCCAAGAGGTATTCTAACTCCTCTTGGTAGACGTTGGTTTCGGAGTTCTCCAGGGTGGCAGTGGGGGTAGTGGCAGGAGAATAAATTCTTACCATCCACCGTTCTCTTCCTTGCCTTTCTCCTTCCTTGCTCGTCCAGGAAGTCTTGCTTAACGATTGCCGACGCCGCCTCACAAGCATGTTTTCGGAGTCACTAAGTGACTTCCACGCGTCCATCGCAAGCTTCATGCCACTACCGTGCCCGCGTCGTTTGAAAAAATCCACCGCGAATATTTGTGCCGCCCACACGGTCTCTTCGGACGCCCATCCACTCTTAGAGTATTTCTTTTCCGCTCTCGTATTTTCCCTTCCTACTCTTAACGATTAATTCACCACGTAGAAACCGAGATAAGTATCTGACACAAAGAGATTTTCGTCAAAGATCTTCAAGGTGATCTTATCGTTTGGTCCATAAACTGAACACATAATGCACTTCTTCCCAGACTGGATTGTTCGTCGATGGCGCTATTTTCATTCTAGCAACTTTCTTGGCAGTGGCGTCAAAAACGATAACATATGGATCATTCGATTGGAACCAACCACCACTTTGCGCGATCAGTTTTTATTTTGAGAATTCCAATGGCTTGTCTCTCAGAAACTTCTACCGCAATAGCTTCTGCTTCTTCTGTAATTTTTCTTAACTTCTTCAGAGACAGTATCTTCGGTAATTGTAAGAGAACTTTTGAAAGATTCGTCCAGTCGGAGTTCTTCATCGACTTGACAACGAATATTCTTGCCGCTTCGAGAAGCTCTTTTTCTACTTTGTTGTTAATTTGTACACTTAACCAGGCGGACGACTTCTTGTATGTAATTGCCCATTTGTCTCTGTGATCGACCATAGTATATCGGAAGTACCAGAGAAGAATTGCCGTACTGTAGATATGGAATAGGATGAGAAATGGGTCTGCACTTCTTTTTGCGCTCTTCCTGTTGACTCGAATCAGCAAGATGGGCGTCGAGCTTGTATGAACCTATTTCGCTTTGATAAGAAATGATGCGACGAATGACTTGGACTGTGATAGTGCGTTGAGTGGTGATTGTCTTCTCAACAATTCCAAAGCTTTGTTTGTGTTCTTCGCTTTCCCATTCTGTGACGTTGTAATGTTTGATAACGTAGCGATTCACTTCTGCGTATAGACTCTTCAATTTCTACATCATTAATTGATTCACTAATCCATGTTTCCATTTTTGTGTACGATGATATCCATTCCTTTTGTGCTTCCATAAGAGAGCCCTGAGGAATGATGTGATAAAGACCGAAACGATGATAGACTTGTCAAGTTTTTTAAGTCGTTCATCAGAAGTGCTGGAATGGAACGACAGGATAAGCTCTTCAACGATGAATAGTTGAAAAGCTTGGCAATACGTTGGTCAGACTCAAAGCTTCCGTTCGCACGTTGAAGTGCGATGAGGACGGATAAAAACGGTCTTGGCGTCAATTCGTTTGGTGTCCTCGCCTTCTTCGCTTTTCATGATGTAAGTCTGCTGCAAGAAGATAAAACCGGTTTGAAAAGAGATCAGTGAACAGTAAGTGGTCAACCTTTTGATAATCGAGCAAGTTGCATGCTTGAATAAAAGTTTTCGATAGATCGGCAAGTAAGGGCACCATAATTAGTTTGGCGCATGCAAAACGTGTAAAACGTGACTTTCGAGATCGAAATAATATTTTGTTTGCCCCTCGCTATAAGCTGGAAGACGACACTCGTATTTAAAAGTGGAATCAGTAGTTAGATGACAGCAACGGGAATACATTATACGTGAAAAAAGAACACTATACATAACATAGTTTTATGAACACATTACGGTGACATCGGTTCATAACCGATACTATAAGCACATCTGTGCAGTATATAATATTCACGACATTCATACCATACGAAAGTTTATATAATGGAGCGGAAGAATACAGGAAATCCGCCTATTTTGCACTAAGGAAGAATTGTTGGCTTACGATGATACGCCAAACAAAATTGGCCACCTAAGAGAGTTTACAATGCATCTTACAACTGAACGGTCTCGAATTCTCACCGGCAAACTATATACTCGAATCAAAATCCTAGCGTTGACAGTTATAAAAACACACATATGGAAGGCGTACAGACCGCGTACGACAAGAAAAGCGAAATTGGGGAGAGTCGTACCAATACAAGAATTACGAAGCAGACATTGATGTTTCTACTATAATATTATACAATTGGATACTCTATTAATACTGCTCGTCATACAAGCTCCACGGGTTGAACAGCGCTTTGCACAGTGAACATTCTCATACCAATATGCATCTCTCCATCAATACGTTTTTTCTCTTGCTATCACTATGAGCTAAATATGACAATCGACGCCGATACCCCTGCGGTATTAGAGGGAATTTAATGGGCACATTTGATATCAGAACAGATGTCTTTACTCTATTGCTGGAGGTAAATCTATTATTCTATGTTACGCCAGAGTATATTCAGACGCATACTCAATTCTAGTTATAATGTCATCTCAATGCTGATTTGTTTATCGCTGAATATTCTATTGTAATTTTTATACCTAGAATTCACTTAAATACGCAAGTTCCGACAAGAAAAATGAGTCGGTTGTACACGACATACTACCCATATAAAGGAGATGATGGTTGGTAATTTTAATTTTGTCAGTTAAAGTGATATTGTTACTGTGAAAGAAGTCTGCCATGTTAACGCTTTGGTGTAATAGTAATAAATAGAAGCGGAAATATCGAAACGATAGTCATAGGAACAATGATATTGGAAAGGTTGTATCAGGAACCAGAGTTGCAAGTATGAGCCTTACTACTTCTCACTGATTTGTTGGTGACCTACTAATAAATACTGACTAACCCTGTTTACAACATTTAGCAACTGGCTCAGCTATCGCCACCACATACAACAGTGCAATTGCTCCCACTCAAACGACGTAATTGCACGATAAACGAATGCTGCCGCGCAATAACGTATGGCACACACATGACCTTGTCATGGAACGTTAATATATCTGCGACCTAAGCGGCCTCATCTCCCCAATTCCTAATAAAGCGCGTTTGCTTGAACATTTCATGCTCAAGGGTCACTATTACGAAATCAGTCTGTCAACATCAGCATAATTCACGTAACAACGCGAACAGTGCGATTGGAGGATGCGAAAGCCAATTTGTCTCTTTGTAAAAAAATAATAATAAACAAAAAAAACCAGTTTCTACTTATTTAGTAAAAAACTTAATAGGTTCTCATACGTCTCATAATACTGTAGATGAAATATTTCAACATTTCTTCCATCAAAAGCGCCAAGTCAGGGTTAACCAAACACTTCTATGAATGAAGACAAGACACGGTGGTGCAATACAATATTGTCCCCTTATTAATAGCTCTTCTTTAAACGTGTCTTTTAATAATACACAGACCAAACATTTGCAAAAATCCAAACTATTTGCTTTATGTTCTGTGGATCATAAAGTCAGATGTCTTTCCGTTCGATGGTCTTATTACGTGGATGAAAGAATCTCCATCGTAAACACGATCGCTTCTCTTTCTGTTCCAACCAACTTAAACACGTTAAATACGCGTTACTGTTTTGGATAAGAAATGACACTCACGCAACCCTGCATATTTCTTCCACACGCGCAAGGAACAATAGGAAGAGCATCGTGCTCATGTGATAAATTTTCGGTTTTCGGCGTTACAGGCTGATATTGGACAGGCTTAATTACCCCTTCCTTATAGCGCTTTAGGCACTCTTTTTCTGGAGATTGCATCAATTGCTCTTCTGTTATACAACTGACAAAACTTAGATTGTTCGCGATACTTTACGATGGCCCAATGTTTTTAAATAATCGAACGGCGAATCAATGTTAGCAACGTGAACTTAAACAATCTTAGCATCAATTAATGGCTCTGTCATCACCTGTCGATATGGATTTGGAAGAGCTATGCCTAATTACATCGCGGAAAGAATGATACTAAAAAATGACGTTTCCTTGCTAATTATTCCTTACACGTCCAAGTTTTTGTTTTTACTGAAAATGGGCATCGAATGTGGGAAATACAGTAAATTTAGATGATAGCATACTCAACACTCATGTAATTCTAGGGAATGATTGGGCCAAAAACGAATCGTTGCAAGATTGTGCAGAATACTAGATCACTGTTACAAGTGACTAGAAGTACAAATGCAAAGTGCTAAACGAATGATTGATTTAGTCGCGAATTGATTGAAATTGCAAGTTTTCCCGAAATGCTAACCTTGGCAAGAATAAGTTTGAAACGTCTCAGCATAAAATAACATATCAAGGACCATATCGTAAAGTATATAGCAAGTCTAAACATTACTTCCATACAAGACGATTGTACATAATTACAGTCCCCGGCGAAAATAATGGCGGCCAGTATTTTTTTAATATATCAATTTTGTTCTTATTATTTTTTTTTATTTAACAGAAGTTCAAGACTAACATTATAACTTGCAAAAAAAAACCCCCAAGATGAAGAGTGGCTTCCTTTTAGATCTATATTAATTTAAACCTAATATTATGAATAAAATTTTGAGTAAGTTGACAAAAAACAAATGTAAAAGCTTTTTTACATTAACAGATTAGATTATATCAGGCAAAAATTATATTTTTTAATCTTCTAAATTTTAATTAACAAGTCTAAAAACGCGAACATCTTATAGTAAATCCAAATCTCACCGAAATGCAAATATAAAGACATGGGTATTTTTAATCATGCCTGACATATTAAGTAAATAAGAAAAGTAATGACGATAGACCGCAAAAAAAATCCACCGAAATCCTTACCCTTTAATGACTATATCTGACTATTACATGCAAGATTGTAATATACAGGAAATCGTGCCCACAAAATTGCTAAAATAGATCCAAGTAAATGCGTAAACACTGAACGCGAGGTAGATAATTCCTTCTCTTTTTTTTTTTCATTTGATAAATGAAGCCGCCTGCTTCTTAGCTGGTAGATACGGACGCGTATATAAGGATATTACACTGCGAGGGGGTTGTCTTCGTAAAGTAGTTCTAGTGACAGCCGCTGATTTATTTTAGGCTTGGTAATATTGACGCTATCCTTTGACGATCGAGTAGACGTGACGCTTGATGATCGAGTAGACGTGACGCTCGATGATCGAGTGGGCGTAACGCTTGGTGATCGAGTAGACGTGACGCTTGGTAATTGTTCATCGAACTCTCCTACAATCATTGATGAGTCTGGATATACAGAATGAGGAGTAGACGTGACGCCACGATCATTGATGCGCCTGGATATAGAGGATGAGATAACTGAAGGGAAGGCGCAATTGGAGATGACGGTCCCACATCATTGATATCTACTCTGACTTCTGCCTCGTTGAATTCGTATGAATTTCCTAGATCCAGACCATAATCCGGTTGATTATTAATATCCATGTGCTGGATCAGGTATCCTCATTAACTACTTCTGTGTCTTCCATCAATATGTCTTGCCTGTTGGTGTCAAAATAACAATTTTTCAAAAAAATCAGTATATTTTGTCAAAGATATAAAAATAATCCCTTAAATTTCAAAGGAATGTACCTTCTTTTAGTTCTCTGCTTCGGTAAACTTGGTTTTATTCTCTTGTTCCTTTATAAAACTGTCGTCGGCCTCTTTGTCAACTTGGTATCTCTCAATTACAGATTCGAATATTTCCTTTTCAAGCTGAGCATCTTGGTTAATTTGTGCCTTTAGCCAAACATAAGACCAGCTGTATCGTTCAGTCCAATCCGCCCGATAATCAACAGCGACCAGTCTCATATACCACAGAGTGACTGCCGTAGTGCACCTTTTTAACGTGACCAGATTTGAAGCACTTTCGTTCCGTAAACGCCGTGATACTTTGAAAGCCATAGAAAGCAGCTATCTTGTCATCAAGGTTGTCTGGTATGTCAAGAAGTGGCGAATAATACGGATGGTAATGGTTTTGCGTGTAATGAATGTACCCGTAATGACTTTTTACAAAAACGAAAAAGTGGGAAGTAAAAAAAAAGAAAACGTTAATGTTTATTCGAATAAAGTAGTAATGACTATGCATATATAACATACACATACCACTTGTTTGAAGAGTTTATCAGATAAATTGATGTTGAATCTCTGCAAGATGAAGTTGCGTACGGCGTCCTCCACGTCATAAACCTGAGAGCTAATCCGTCGTTCCGAACTTTCCGCGATAGCTTTCCAGAGTTCCAGAAGAGAATCCTATAACAAGAGCGGTTGACCACACGTTAAGATCAAGAGAGCGAAGAGTTTAAGAACGCCTCCAATACTATTTCGCAATTCCTCGGCCGAACGAACTTGAAAAACCGCGCAAGGCCACCATAGGAAAACTTGAACGCATTATCAGGTCTTCGCCAGCTGATGAGAATGTAAAGCAAGCGCTCGTCGACAGTTGCCTGGGAGAAGACAAATTTGTCTTCGAGAATAAGAGATGTCGAGAAGAATTTCGCTGCGTGCCACCGCCATTGGGAAGCTGAATCTTCACCCAATTCTGAGAATACGCCGTTCTCAAATATTCCATCATCATTTTGTTTAACAAAACCGACAATGTCAAGGGTATAGGATCCAAGATTTTCGTCGGCCAAGAATGTGTTCGAATCCAAAATTTCCAGAGTAATCTTCTCATTCGGACTATAAAATGAACTTCTTCCCATACCGGATTTCTAGTAGAACGAGCAACTACTGTGATAGCAACTTCTTTAGCAGAACAATCGATAATACGGACATAGAGATCTGTTGTTGTAAGGAAACTGCTGCTCTTTGAAAGTTTCTTTGCACGATTAATCTTAGTCTGGTAACTCCGATTATAAAACCCGATTCGGTTTCTGTTTCGCGTGCCAACTTCTTACGGCCTGGTCATCTTGTCTTTACTCTTGATAGTGATTTATCATTTTCAATAGCTTCTTCGACTTCATATCTCTTATGACAAGTTGCCGTGCTGCCTCGGGCACTTCTGCTTCGACCGCGGCGTCATTGATTTGAGCAGACAACCACTTGTACGACTTTTCGTATGACTGAATCCATTCTGAACCGGTTTCACTTTGATATGACGGTGACGGTACATCGAGTGATAATTGTCTGTTGAGTCGTAGTGACAACCATACGTTTGTTTGTGTTCCTCGCTTTCCCACTGATCGAATTTGAAGTGTTCGATCACGAAGCGATTAGAGGCATTGTATAGACGTTCTTCGATGTCTACATTGAGCCATTCTTCCGTCTTTGCACAGCTTCCAATCCACTCATTATGTTTCCATAATAAGATTCTCAAGAACGAAGTCACAAGAACTGCAGTGAGGACTCTCTTGTCGAGTTGTTCGTCGTTCGAGCTGTAAATGCAGAGATAAGTTCAGCCTCGGATGTAAAGTTGAACAGTCTCGCCGAGCGTCTGTTAAGTACGAAAGAACCATCTTGACGCTGAGAAGGAACAAGGTGACGAATAATTTTAGTTCCATCGTCCAAATCACACTGATAACGTGCGATTGTCCTTTCTTAGACCGAGGTCACGTGATTTACTTGACAGCCATCCGCGCAATGCTTGACAAAGTCTTTCAATTCAAGCTCAAGAGCGTGTCGCTGAGTAATGCGTTGTAGTCGTACGGTAAACGTATACTTGTCCTTAATTTCGTATACTGGAATGTAAAAGATTTCGGTGAGTTGTTATTATTATTATAGATGGTTTACGTCTTTCCATACTACTGAACCACCAAACAGCTGAGGGGAGTAGTTCAAGTATAGCTACCAGGATTAAATTTGGACAGACGCAAGACGCATTAGTAACCAACGTAATATTAATATAAAAAGTTGTAACCAATGCTAATGATATTATTTCACACTTTGAGATCGTCATGTGATAGCAGATAACAATATGCGTAATCGGACAAATAATAAATACAAATTGTCGCATATAATCTCTGTATAATAGAAGATTAACAGCATTTGCTCGATACAAAGCCTTTGAATAAATAGTAACTTATAGAATACAATTATAAATGCACGTAATTCCATTATTTATATTTTCTACATAAATAATTGGAAAGCTAGTAATAAATTTTTAGATCTAAATCACATTTATTGAATGCAATAAAGATTGCGGCCAAGTCTTCCACTTGCAAGATATATCCGTTGACATTTTATTATCGGAAACTTAACTCCGACAATGCAGAGTGTCTTTACGATTTAAAAAACAAATATTATTATTATTATGTGGTATACTAAAATTAATTTACCATGGTATAGCGAGGTGCTTTGAATGACACATATACTTTATGTCATCGTGAATGCTCAATATTAAACATTTTTTCTTTGTGCATCGTTAAATCGATTTACCTTAGTATCAAGAACATTGTTTTTATAATTAGCATATAAGG